CGCTTAAAGTCGGAGCAGCTCGAGGTATGTGAGTTCGATATGGAGGCTTATTGATAAATTGTACGAAATAATTTTTTACAAATTCCGAGCTTTATCAAATAACCTTTATTTGTAATGCCTATCAGTTCTTCCAGATTATGCGATCCTCCTTCTTATAATCCCATCCTAAAGGAATCGGCCTGGCTACCATTTCGATGGATTACCCGGTTAAGCTTTTGACTTATGTTTATATTTTAATTATGCATGCCTAAAAAAGCTTCTTTCTTAGGCCAACACTCATTATCAATAGACCTATATTTTTACTGTTAAGAAAGGAATTAGCTGCATTATACTTTAGGCATTTATGACGTTTCATAAGGCAGAAAACATTATAAAAACTGTCCAATCAAATCATTCTAATTTCTTGGAGAAATGGGGCTTTTAATTTACAAATACGCTAATGGCTTTGAACATATGCGTTAGGTAAACATCAATCACTTCAGGGTAAATTATAGTTAGATAGCAATAATATATTAAAGTAAGTTTATAAGGTAAACGTTATTATGTAGAACTTCTTGATTCTTTACTTTAGCGACAATATAATAATTAATTTATGGGGACTAGTGAGACCAGAATTGGCTAAATTATGGAGCAATGCTGATGGCTATTGAAATCAGCAAAAACCACAAAACGGAGGCTATTTTTGGCATTAAGTTCTGAGTTCAGCTGAGACTTGGCTCTTCAGTTTACGCCAGAACGTTGTTAGAGCACATATTTTCCTTCGTATCTTGCCTTCTATCCAGCGTGTTGAAGAGGATCAAAATATTGCCAATGTCTGCTGCTCACCTTCCATTTATTCAAAGTCTATTATTGTAGTAGTCTATTGTAGTCTATTATTTAGTAATTCTTGACATTCACATTTGTAGTTGTGTGCATGAAGAAATCGACTATTAGGCATGCTTATGGCATCGTTTTCAGGAATATTTATCTGCCATATTATAATCCGTGGGAGGTATCGATGCATAAACTGCCTTTTATCCCGTTTAGCCGGGAACACCCATTAAGTGGGAAGCGAAAGGCTGTTTCTTGCTCCAGAATCTGCATCCTTGATCAATCACAGTGTCGATTCTTGGTAAATCACTCATAGGAAAATAAGACAAGAAATATCGCGCATCGTGAGTTGTTGTGGAGATACGGAACTATTTTAATTTCTTCGTTTACCACTAATATATGAATAAGTGGGCACGCTTAATGACCGCAACCACAAGATACTACTTAAATAGCTATAATATGTTTAAGTAGATTTAGAACGTGAACTTTATGATGTATAAATACATTATTAAGGGCTTTAGTGGCAATAGAATTACAATAACTTGGTTAATTTGTGATTATTTCTGACATCATATTTCTGAGATATATATGTATAAATATATATAACTTAGGTATTATTCTGTGGTGTCCAGTCGCTAGGCCAATAAAGTCATATATTCATATATATGTTTTATTATATTATTTTATATATTAAGTTCATCAGAATCGAGGCCGTCAAGAAAGGCCTGGAAACTTGAGCAACTTATGCCTCTGTACTAGCCATAAAAAATTAAAAATATTGCTGTTGGACTACCTTTCATTTCGTTTGAAGAGGCGAGTTGAAGGGATTCGTAACTTTGTGGTTGTAGATATGTGCGAATAGGTGCTTGGCTCACAGCCCTGCGACACCGATGAATCTTTGCTGATATTTCGTCCGTCATGTGATGAACATCGTCAGAGCAGGAGAGCGGATCAGAGTGTTCTCGAAAAGAAGGCAATACCGAAGACAGTGCTATTTTCTTTTTATAAATGGCCCTGATGTTCCACCTCTTCAGCAATTCGCCTACCCTTTTCGATGGATTACACTATGGCAAAATAATGATCATGATAGAGTGATCTATCTTTTTATCTAGCCCCAAATATGTATTTTCCTTAATTCTCTTTGACAACGGGAAGAGGAAATTCACCATTGAGTTATAAAAGGATGGTCGTTTACCTTCTATTGATGTCCTAGTTAGCAAAGAGGAGATTAGATTAGGTCGAGATGTGTATAGTAAACCCACAAATGCAGATTTCCTTTTGAATTTCTTCTCCAACCACACTTATCTGGTGTAAGTAGGAGCTATGAAGTCTGTAATAATAAGGATCCTGCCTCTGACAGATGCTAAACATCGGGACCGGAAAGTAAGGAGACTGATGAGAATTCTGGTTGAGAATACTTATCCAGGAGGACTGGTTGACAACCATTTTAGAATATTGTCAAATAGAATGAAGGGAAATACATATTTGGGGTTAGATAAAAAGATGGATCACTCTATCAGTATCCTTATGCTGTCATCGTGTAATCTGTCGAAGAAGATAGGCAAATTACTAAGGAGGTGGGACATCAGGACCATTTATAATGAGAAAATAACACTGTACTTGGTATTGTCTTCTTTTCGAGAATAGTTTGACCCGTTCTCCAGATCGGGCTTCTACAAGATTTGGTGTTCATGTGATAGTGTCTATATGGGAGAGACCTGTAGACCCATACATAAGAGGTTATCCGAACACAAAACTGCCTGCAAGGATTTGTGGGTACGAAAATCGGAATTGGCCGAACACATGGCTTGCACAGGGCACCAGATAGATTGGTTTAATACCAAACGCTTAGCTGGATATGGAGACTATACCAGTAAGCGAAAGATTAGGGAGGCGATATAAATCAACAAAACAGCCAACACCCTGAATAGAAGGAATGAGTGTAGGAAATTACTTGTGGCTCTTGAATAGGTTTAGAGAAAGAATCGCGGGGAACGAGAAGTATCACCAAGCAAGAGAAGGAGGCTCTTACCATCTGGAATTTGGTTTTGACTCTCACATCACACTCATTTCAAGAGCAATGTACTCACACAACACGTGTGCAATGGGACGCGATGACATGCGGAAAAATTGCAGGATCGAAGGCATACGTGTTTAGGGGATGATGCAGTTGTTCAGTTTTAATTACACCCATTTCACGCTTCATCTGTAGCCACTTCACATGTCATCCGCAGCCACTTAACCTAACTCAAGAGTAAATTTTCGAGCAAAGCATAGGACATCCAACCCAATCATGAGATGCATAAGTGGATCGAATTGGAATATAAGAATGAAGTAGGTTTGGAGCCGGAAAATTTTAATTATTGTTAACCATCGTGTCCTGCTCTCACGATGCTCGTCACATGATGAACGAACGCTCAGCAAGGATGCATCGGGGCAGCAGGGCGGTGCGCCGAGCACCTATTCGCACAAATCTACAACCACAGCCTCACTGGAACCAAGTTACGAATCCTTTTCACTCGCCTTTTCAAATGAAATGAAAGGTATTCCAAGATAATTCTATAAAGGGATTCTTCGAAACCCAGTTTTTTTTACAAATTAAAATATTGCCAATGAAGCTGGAAATTAAGCATTTTATACTCTTAGGATTATGAGAAGATTAGTAATCGAATTTTCCCACAAAGATATTAGTAAGCACTAGGTTTCCACTGAATTTCACATAGATTCGCTTTCCTAAAAGGTATTCTCATTCAGAATGGACTGCAGTTTCGACAGTGCAGCATATAATCTCGACACGTTAACCACCTCGAGGTAGAAACGGCAGTCCACTCCTGTCTGGGTGAAAATACCTTTTTGGAAAGTAAGTCTATGTGAAATTCGATCGATATGTAAAGTCTATTCATATCGCTATCGTATATAAGTAGAGTTTCGATACTACATCTCATATATTCATATCATTGTCGGAAAATTCAACTACTAGTCCCCTTATTACCCTAAACGAAATAGGATGAATACCTCTAATATATATTATCTCGAAAGCCTACTTATGAATGAACAATACGCCACAAAGTTTCTTGTAGTGATTGTCATTCAGGCTATGCATATATCATCCATAGTGAGAATCTTGTGTTAGTAAATTAGACCACTCATTCCCCTCATCAATTGGTACAGATTCTTTGACCTCACTACCACTTGCATACACGATTGCAAATTTTGTATTTTGGTCCGTTGAGGTGGTAGCGATTCAGCGAGTGCGAAGAACGTCTGGGCGGAGGTCTAGTGAGTTGCCAATAAGTTCCTTTACAGCATGGTCTACCTCATTCTATTGGTCATTTGTCATCGCCAAATTAGTATTCTGACGCATTTGCTTGCCGCAAATATTCCCTTTTCTCCACATCTCCCAGCGACTCACGATCTTCCTTTCGCACCATGAACGTCGAGCCGAGGCCCTCTTCGCGACGAGCCAGCGTCTGCTTCGGGAACATCTCGATAGACAACACTCTTCCGGCCAAGCCGTCGGCTCCACTTTGTCTGCCGCCGCCTCCGCCCACAGCACGGCCCCGTTGGCCAGTCAAGAACCGCTCGTCCAGCAACTGGTCTCCCAGTGCCTCAGACTGAGCGTAGGCCTCCATCTTGGCCGGGCCAGCCTCAGACGTCGACTTCGCAGACTTGCCGACTGGCAGGCCGACCTGGACCGAGTGCACTCGAGCCTGTCGGCGGTGGAGGCGGGCCTCGAAGAGGTGTTGGGCAGTGCGGCAGATCGTCCGGCCGACCTGGCCGGCGATGAGTTGTTGGGCTGGCTGGCGGATCAGTTGGATATCAGTGGAAAGTCGGTGGCTGGCACGGTAAACAGATCGTTGTGTTAGCTATTTACAGACGGGGCTCGCTCTATCCCGGAGTTGTGGCTGCAACCGCAACGGACAACTATACACATTTTGGCTGATGTACCAAAGGGCCTTCATAATTGGAGAGAGTTGCCAGCCCGTGAAAACTCTACAATTATTAATCAGAGTTCCAGTCACACTCTAGATTGCATAAGGTGGTGAAGAACTGACAGTTAATTTTCCCACAAGGAGATGAATAAGTCTCACATTCCCATTTAATTTAACTTTGTATTGTCTCCTAAAGGGACTCTCATCCAGATTGGATTGTAGCTGCGGCTCCGCCCGGGTTTCATTAGCGCCTCCCAGAATTGAATGGGAATACCTTATGGAAAGCAAGGCCAAGTGAAGTCCAATGCAAACCTGAGGCTTACTCTTATGCTTGTGGGAAAATTCAACCACCAGTCTTTCATCACCTTATGCGACTTAAGAACCCTTTAGGACTGGAACTCTGAACGTATTCGTATTCTGGAAAATCTTCTTCCTTTAAATCTAATATTCAGTAGGAATATCCTTCGAGACTCTCAGTTATTATAAAATAGGAGCATAAATTTCCTGGAATCATGACTCCAGTTGAAAATATAACTGCCAGTGCCCACAACACCTTGAGAACCTATTTACACGGTTATTTAATAATAGTCGTATCATCCAATTTGGACTACCTGCATCGCATTAGATACCGAGTTAAGACTCAAACTATTAGTCGGCTCACTCGCTGTAGCCTGGTCATCTATGATACTAGCTTGTAGCCAGGTGATAAATCAGGCCTCTGGAATTGCATTGCATGCTTTCGCACTGCATTGCGGTAATAGACTCATA